ATTGCATTTATAGTAATTGTTTTTACTTTTTATTTATTTTAACTGTTAAAAGCCCTTCAAGGGACAGGTGCTGCGAATTAGCTATGGTTATAAACACTATGATACAGGCATCAGATTATTTTGCATATAATGATCTATGTTTATTGTATCTGTCCCTACCAAATAAATAAAAAATAAATAAATAAATATATATTGAGCTCAATTTCTACTTGAACTATGAACCCCATGAATTAAATGGCAACATGAAGCCTGTATTATAAACAGCCAGCCTCCTCCAGCAGGTATGTACAGCATGTGGATGAAACAGAAGAAAGCCTAGATGGTGCTTTAAAAGCTGAATTTCTGGAGTTAACTTCCTTGATTCGCACTTAAACACTGACATTAGTTACATTTGTGAGAGGATTCAATAATGCAGCTCATAGCAGCTTATTCAAGGCTCAGAAACCCCACTGTTTGTTCTTCCCCTTACATAAAAACATGTCGCTCTCAAATAAAAATCTGGAGGCTCAGGTGGAAACTGCTGCGAACAAACTTCTGCTGCAGGTGAGGCTTGAACTCACAACCTCAGCTTCTCCCACCATGTACTGGGCTGGAAGTACCGCACGCTGACCGATCGCACCACTGGAGCCTGCACAAGGCAGGGTGCCCTGCAAACAGTTGATCTTCAGCAACATACAGATGTCCATCTTCAAACTGTCCATAATGGTGGTAGATAGGAACATAACAGCATCTCATGGCACTGGATCTTCTTTCAGGTCAAAGACCAGGTCATAAACTGTCTAAAGCAAAGGTTCCCTGTTTAAAACAAGGCTGCAGCCATTAGCTGTCAGGTTATATCTGGTATGTGGGTGTCATGATTAGAAGGTGTTTTATTTGTTTTGGGTCTTGTTTCTGATCATTGCTTTGTTTCCAGGTGGTGCTTTATTCATCCATCATATGTTCTGTTCATGATGTCTCACTGCTTTCACTGCCATGGTCTATATATACTCCTCAGGTTCAGTCCTGTTTGTTCCTTGCTGGTTTAAACTTCTGTTCCTGCCACATCTACCCAACTCCATGCCTATAAGTTATTGCTTTTCAGTTATTAAATCTTTTGATTCTCCACCCCATCTGCTCCTGCCAATCTGCACTTATTCCTATTTCAAAAGCCACCCATTCTGTGTGGGTTTATTTTCAGTCAGTCAGTCAGTACTGCTTCTTCCATAGTGGGTCGCGGGGAAGCTGGTGCCTATCTCCAGCAGTCTATGGGCGGGAGGCGGGGTTCACCCTGGACAGGTCGGCAGTCCATCGCAGGGGTTTATTTTCAATTAATTCAATTTCTATGTTTATTTTTAGTGTGTTTAATACTGTAAATATACTGTACTAATTGTTTTGTCAAGTTTAATGTGGTTTTAGTTTCTTGTTCATAATATTAATCAGCCGATTATGAAAAAGTTCAACTTGGGACAGGAAATAAAAATTAGCACCAGCTACAAACTTCTATTCTATTCTACTGTCATTGCTTTGATGTTAGAACTGAGTCCGAATTAGGCGACTAAATGCTACGTCCGGCCTGGTCAAACCTGGACTCAGTTATTCTGCAGTGACTGCAGGTTCTTATAGACAAAAGACAATTGGATTTTTGTTTTTTTTTCTAAAACTGTTATAATCCCGTCTCTAGTGGTTGTGGACTGGATATCGTTTCGTCGGGTGAGTTGGATGGTTCATTATTTGTTTGTAATAAAGAGATATGATGGTTGGTTGGACTCAGAACATCATAGTTCTGATTGGCTGCATAAGAACCTTGTTTGCTGTTACAGTCAGAGGACATTTACTCTCATTTTAAAATATTTGCATATTATTTTCAGTCTTGGTTGTACAAACTTATTAAAAAGTTTATTTGAAAAGCAGCATGTCCTCAGAAACCTCTGGACCCTTTAATAATGAAACTAATTACTAATTGTTGACAAATACATTTTAAAGCTGCTGAGCTTGAATGGACCTCCTCTCCTTTTCTACTGGTCACTGGTGCCACACAGTAACAACAGAACATTTAGAGTTAGTCCTGCTTAACATTTAGCATTTCTACTTTAGATCAGTTAGGTTTCGATCCAAATAAACCCAGAACTTCCCACCTCAGTATAACTTTGCTACATATCGCTTTATAAGTGCTGCACAGCGACCAACTGAACCACCGGAGGTTCTGTAAATTTGGCATCATTTGGGAGGTTCGATCAGATATTTCTTTAGCAGGGTCATAGCTTGGGCCAAGCAGTGATAATGGTGCATGAGTGAGAGACTACAGCTAGATAAAAGACACTTGGGTGGCCATCTGGTGAGAAGGAACGAAGAACTCCTGCACATCTCAGCTGGAAATCATTCAGTGACTTCTGGCTGTGAGGCCAATTACCGTCTCTCTTCTCTTGCCAGCAATCCATTAGCAAAACACCAATCTGCTCCATCGTAGACGCTGCTGGAGCCAATATTCAGACTGTTCTGGTTCTGGTCCAAATCTAACAAGCTGAAAAACGATCAGCACCAACAGCTGCAGGACATCCTTATACAGACTAGACTGTGAGTGCCTCCAGTGTCCTACACACTTCCTGGGATCCCTGGGAGGGATGATCGTCCTAAAATGCCTAAAATAAATTCTTTTATTTCTATTACTGCTGCATAAATGAAAATCCAACCTCTTCAAAATGAGAAAGACAAGATAACACCCTATCAGAATAAGGCAGATGTGTCTTGCTCTTCATGACTCAGGACATGGTTACAAGGAAGCAGCTTCTAGCCTGAAAAGTCGCCCATATCTACAGTCAGAACAATAACAACTGAACCTGCAGCAAACGAGATTATAAAACAATCTCTGAAGCTCTGTCTTACAGAACTACTGTAGAAGACAGGAATTCATCACCGCCAGCATCCATAACGACTAATAAACATTATCTACATGGCATGCAATGAAAAAAGCCTCTTCTGTCAAACAACTACAAATGTCTAGAGTTCGCTGAACATTTGAGTGAATTTAACTGACATGATGTGTTTTTCAGATCTATTAGTTGTGAGTCTGACGTAAAGCAAAGGATGAATATGTGGAAAAGGATGTTGTGCCTCCTGTATGGTATGGTGAAGGATGGGTGATACTGTGGGCCTGTTTTTCTTCCAAAGGTCCTTACATTGTTCTCGGAGAACATGGCATCACAGAAGGCTTTCACAAAAGAGCCTTTTAGTCTGCTAACAGCGAAAAAGCAAACTGACTATCAAGCAAACTAAACACAGGAAGTGATGTCTCTTATACTGAGCAAATGACTTACTACTGCTGGGCCCAGCGATAGAGGGAACAACGACTCAACTACACACAGAACAAAAGTGCATGGTAAAAACTCTGAATCCCAGAATGCAAAGCATTAATCCAGTTTCATGACAGGAAGGAGCTAGAATCCCACTGACATCACAGAGCTACAAAACTCTGCTCTCTGCAGCATTTCCTTTTCTTTACTTGCAACCTCCAGAGGCTGCACTGAGGAGGACGTGTTTGTGAACATCTTGACCTCGCTGGCCGAGGAAAAGACTCCGTCTTTGCAAAAAAACCAATGGCTGTGATGTCTATATCTGGTGACTGTACCCCGGCCAAAAATATGACTAGCAGCCTGAACCTGGCTGCCAGAGCTCCTGCAGAAAGAATCCAAGCCAACGATTCTCCAAGAAGAGACGAAGCAGTTTTCCTTTTACTGCCCTGAAGAAGACAGTATCTGAAACCACAGCTCCGCCCGACGCCTGCTCCAGTCCGAGCAGGCGTCGGGCTCACCCTAGTTGCTGGACCGAAAGCCACCGCCACGTGTTCTCTGTTCTTTGGACCTGCCGAACTCAACGTGTTCTCCTGTTCATCAGAACAGGTCACCGTAAGAGGTCAGGCAGAAAAAAATAGTTAAGGATAAAACAATCTAAACAATTATTTCATTGTGTTTTAAAGTTGTGACAAACTTAATTTGTATGAGTGGTTTAAACACTGATGGTCGAGTAACATGAGCCTGCTCACTAAACCGCCTAAAATATATCTGCATCGTCTGTATGAACATACTACATTGTCTCTGTTATCCCAGCTGCTGATGCTAAAGCTCTGATAAAGCTTATATATATATATATATCCATCCAAGATATCCAATATCCAATTTGAATAAATAACTGAATCCGACTGCACTGTTCAATAGTTAGGATTAACTGGAATGTATGAACCTGACTTGAAATCTATATAATTCGATTTTATTGACTTAGCCCATTTTAAAGTTACCCACCTTTCACACAATGCAACAGGAAACAACTCTCTCCAATTATTTTTACCTCCGCCTTC